GCAGGAGCGATGCGACTCAGAGCCCGTGGTGTCCCAGAGCTGCACCCCTCCTTCTCCGGAGCTAGCAAGCCCCATCTTTGGCAAGGCCAGCCTCAAGGTGCACTTGTGTCACTACTGTGGGGAGCGTTTCGACTCTCGGGGAGGGCTGCGGCAGCACTTGCACACCCACGTCTCAGGGTCGCTGCCGTTCGGTGTGCCGGCCTCCATCCTGGAGAGCAGTGACCTGGGGGAGGTGCAGCCTCTGGCCGAGGACAGGGAGGCTGGGGATGGCCACCGGCTTGGGACCTTCCTCCTCAAGGATGACGAGCATCCGCTGGAGCATCCGAGCTGCGGCGACCTGGAGCCCCTGCAGATTGGCCAGCTCTCCCTCATCTCCAAGGACCACGAACCAGTGGAGTTGAACTGTAACTTTTCGTTCTCAAGAAAGAGAAAAATCAGTTGCACTGTCTGCGGCTGCACGTTTTTCCGGAAGAGCCAGCTGCTTGAACACATGTACACACACAGAGGGAGGCAGCACAGACACAGCCGCTGTCAGCAGCTGGAGAGCCCCGCGACCCCCAGGTTTCATCCTTACTGTGACAGCGAGAGCACGGGGAAGAGCTCCAGTTTATCCCAAGACCACTTAGATGAATGTATACTGGAGTCGGATCTCATCCAAGAAAGTGTTGATACGATCCTGGTAGAGTAATTTTCTCCCTGTGTAGCCTTGAGATGCTGGAACTCTGTGTGTTTTGGCATTTTCTGCTTAGTGAGCGGCTGCTCTCTGCAGCTGATTTTCTTCAACCACCATTCCCCTCACCTCTGAGGTAACTGTGAAGAACTGCATACTTTGATTTGTGTATTCGCTTTTTTACTGCTCTAACTCCTAAGCTCAAGCTAATTCCCATCTAAGTCTTTCTTGTAAGCCTCTGTGCAACTCAGTTACATTTTTCATAAATGTGAACTTATTCCTGCTCTGCTTTACTAGAGTTAAGACTGTGAGGTTTAAATATGGTCTAATGTGCTGCACGGTGCCTAGGACTGTTTGTATCCTGTAAAATTGCTAGATTGATGGAAGTATGTATTGTGTTTTCCAAACAGTGTGTTTTTAGTTAAAATAAATATCTCAAGGAGATGAACCCTAAAGTGTGCATTGTATAACTGCAGTTAATAAATCTCTGCATAATTACGTGTGGGAGCTGCAAGGCTGGTCTTCCTAAGAGAACTGCTGGCGTTGATGTAGGGGTGGCAACCTTCACTGTGACAAGCCCTGGAGTCCCTGTCCAGGGAATTTACTTCTAGACTCAAGGGGTTTACATGTGCTTTTCCTCATTCCTACTCCTCTCTTGTCAATTGCTACTGCATGACCGGAAACAAATTTGGTGCCACTCTAGGACCACGTTCCATTATTGGACCATCTTCTCTGCAAGGAGAAGTGAAAGCTGCAAAATGTCCTCTCCTCTCAGAGAGCAGGGACATCCCAACCTAAGTCTTTGCAAGATTAAATACATGGATTTTCTCAGTGAAAATTATTTCTGACTATAAACAGCTTGGAGCAAACACGTTCTTAAATATTACAATCTGTATGTTTGCTAAGAGCAAACATATAATATGTTATTTCCTCTCTGTTTGCAGAGCTGCCATAAGATTGTAAAATGCAAGCTTTTTGCCTTTTGTTTGTCCTTACTTGATATCTGAAGAGTAATAACGTGTCCAAGAGGGATTTAAAATTGTATGCTTTCTTCCTGGATTCGTGTTTTATTTCCTCTGGAGTTTTTCATCTGATATACCCCAGGCTTTGCACTAGATCAACCCATCCCTCAAGATCGACCCATCCCTCAAGAGATGATCTTAAATTGGGAGGCACACGAAAGTTCTTACAGCACCGAGGTTTCTCTCGCAGTGAAGAGCAAAAGCCTTGCGAGCTGCTCCCGTAATCTCATTACCCAGTTTTTAAGAAGCTGGAGGCTCCCTGCCAGTCCTGGTGGAGTTGAGTCATTGACTTCAGAAAGCGGGAGCCCGAACAATGGTGAGAACAATTTATTGTCAAAATGCCCGCTCCGAAGCTCTTCGTAGTCAGGACCTGTGAGCGGTCTTCTTTGAAACTGTCCTGAAGCAAGAGCTGCAATTAAATTGCTGCCGATTTAAAAGACCATCTGAGGTCTTTGTAAGGGTGGCTGCTGCTTCTCCTGGGCAGGGACCTGCACGCTCCAGGGGATGGATCGGCCACCGAGGGCTGCCAAATTGTGTTTTGAGACAAAGGGAAAAAACGAACAGCCTCTGAGCCTGCCCAGATGATGTTACAAAATGCTCGTTGCGGTTTGGTGTGTGCGTGCCTGCTAGACTGAATGCTCCTCTCACTGCATGTACCCATTAAAGCTGCTCCGGTGTGAATGCATTTTAACTCTGCTTCAAAAGCCTTTCTTCAAAGCAAGCAAACAAACAAAACCCTGCCGACATGCAGGCCTGCAAAATGCTGCATCTGAGCATGGAGCAATTCACACGGAGCATTTCCTAGAAGAGAGCCTTCTGGGTCTCTCCCAGGCTAACAGCGTCAGCTAAATCACATCCAGCACAGACTGCTTATAACTGGGGCAAATGCCCTCTGGGTTCCACTGACCTCTATTTCTACATGACGGTTAAAACAAAATAAATAAAATGGTATGTTATAGTCATTCCCTATTTGTGTGCGACACTTTACCAAGTGGACTGGCTTTTGCCGATGCTACTTGCTTCACTGGGGTTCCTACCTTTAATTTAAGAACAGAGAGGAATGGCTGCTGGCTTGGGCATATCTGTAGAGAAGAGCTAAAAGGGAGTTTTCACATTAATCAGTCAGTAGATAAGCACCTTGGACCTCCTATGAGATGCCTAACTTGCCTGAACTAACTGATACTAAAAGTCAAATGTCCCTTGATTTCTTTCTAAAGATAAAGAGGGGAGACAAGCAGCAAGTGCCCGAAGGCATCTCTGGGACATCACCTTCAGGTCTGTGGGCAGGGTTGTTTTGTTTGCATCTTGGCCCTTAAAAGGGAGCTTTAATAAAAAACTGTGAACTCCAGATGTCTATCAGCTGTACAGGCGTATGTGTTGCTGGAGTGACTCTGTTGTACTGACTGCCAGTGCATCAGTAAAGCTGAAATCACATTGAAATCAGCACTGTGTTCTGTACATGTTCAGTATGTATTTGAAAAACTTACAACTGCAGGCATTTTTTTTTATCATCACCCCCCTCTCAGAGTGTATTTTGGTTAAGCTTTTGCGGTACTGAACATATGTGACATCAAACATCTGTGAAAGGGATTTTTTGCATCATTTGCCATACAAGAAATGCGTTTTCAGCAGTTTACTACTGCAAGCGTTAAAGCGCTGTTATAATTAAAGTAGTCGTCAGCTCCAAGCTACGTTAACTTGAAATCATCATTCTCTCTAAGTCTTATGAATAGCAAATAATTTTAGAAGACAGTTATGTTTGCTAAGCAAGGGCAGCAGCTGCTCCTGGATATACCATAAAAAAGTTTTATTATTGTATGTAGAAGACACTTACACTACTGCGTGCTTCACCTTTATGCCAGTGCATGCTTGAAAATCTGCCTGGCTTGCACAGCTGGGCTTGGCAAATACTCATTTCTCATGGTAGGCTTGGGGTTTTTTCCATGAAAATTTGTCAGAGTGTGCAGAATGATGATCCTAATGATTCCTTATTCCTTCCACATCTCTGCAATTGGTTTATAGATGCATGTGGGCTTAGGAAAATCAAGCCCCTGAGTGGTGACACTTGAAGGCTGGCACTCTGAAAGCTCCAGGGGATCCCCAGAGCTTTGCCCTGGGTTGTGAAGGGGTCTTGGCATCAGAGGTGCAGAGCTGACGAACCACAGGTGTTGAAATGCCTTATCTGTGGGCTCTGCAGCCCTTGTTATGAAAACACAGGAAGACTGGGGCTCAGAGCCCTGCCTAAGCCTCAAAGGGTGAGCAGACTCCTCAGCCACCTCTAAAATGCCAGAAAGCGCAGCAGTGGCTGCCATCACTTCCATGTGTATCTGGGTGCTGGCCTGACTATGCCACCCATCGGTTACCTGGCTCAAAGGCCAAAGCATGCTCAACAATTTCAATTTAGATATTTTGAAATATTTTTAGTGCTCTGGTGTTGAGCAGCCTAGGTCGAACAGAATCACAGAATCAGGGGTTGGAAGGGACCTCAAAAGATCATCTAGTCCAGCCCCCTTGCCAGAGCAGGATCACCTACAGCAGGTCACACAGGAACACATCCAGGTGGGGTTTTAATATCTCCAGAGAAGGAGACTCCACAACCTCCCTGGGCACCCTGTGCCAGGGCTCTGTCATCTTCACAGTGAAAGAGTTTTTCCTAATGTTTTTGTGGAACCTCCTATGCCCCAGCTTGTATCCATTGCCCCTTGTCCCATCACTGGACATCACTGAGAAGACTCCGTCTCCCTCCTCCTGACATTCAACTTTTACATATTTATAAACATTTATGAGGTCACCCCTCAGCCTCCTCTTCTCCAAGCTACAGAGACCCAGCTCCTTCAGCCTTTCCTCATAAGGGAGATGTTCCACCCCCTTCATCATCTTTGTGGCTGCGCTGGACTCTCTCAAGCAGTTCCCTGTCTCTCTTGAGCTGAGGGGCCCAGAATTGGCTGGGCTGTGCTTGCCCCATCTCCATGCAGGATAAACCCCACACTTCAGCTCATTTTATCTTCTGTACAGACTGTGGTTACAACATGTGTCTTCAGCCGTTCCAGCAGGCTCTTCGCTCGCTGTCAAATCACTGCAAAATTGGGCGGCAGCAGTGTGCAGGGGGTGCGGAGGGGCTCACAGCACATCCATGGGCGCAGTGGTCCTCACCAGAGGGGTTTAGAACATTCATGCACACTGAGAAGATTAAAAAGGAAAAAGAAATTTGCCTCTGGGGTGCAAACCTGAAGCAGTGAGCACTGCAGGAAAAAAATAAAACCATGCAATACCACTATCATGAGCTTTCTAGAAAGAGTATAATGCTGATACCTAATGGTTTTCTACTATTTTGGAGGCAGAAATTATAAATCCTGTGCAAGTGAAGCTTTCAGAAGTGTGGAGAGAAGGAATCTCAGCAGATGCAATTCAGCATCATTGAATGGGACCGTGAATTATCAGCGGCCAAGGCAGGAGGTTTCTTCTTGGCTTGTCAAAGCTCTCCCACGGCAATCTGCCAAGAGCAGGTCGTGCCATACCCCTGCAATCATCTTCAGCTTCACTGTATAATAAAACCCAGACTTGTCTCTCCCCCTCTTGCCACAGTATGCCAAAAAAAAAGACTGCAGCTGAGTGGGCTTCCCAGCAGTCCGACACTAGGAAAATACATTTTGAGCAATAAGAAACTGAGAGAAAAAAGGCAGTGAGGATGGATCTGCCCTAAATCACATGCCAGTTAGATGCTTACAATCAGAGCTGTGTCGGGAGTGAATTCCCCAAGACATAATCGCAGCATTTACAGGATTTGCATGTTTCATTAAGAAAAAGTAGTGGCACAACTTCAAAACCAGCCTAAGAGAGGAAATATTTCCACTAACTACAGAACACCAGATGCTGCACCCTCAGAACAAAGACGGAGCACAGCGAAAAGCTTTGTCTGCTGAATTAGGCTGGTTTTCACCTGAGCTGAGATGCTCCAGGGAAGCTTTGCAGGGCTCAGGGCAGGATGGCAGCCGC